TGAGTTTTCGAAAAATTTGCAGGGTTTTTGTTCTCCTGTTGTCGTTTCTTTGTTTTTCTGGCGTTTTCTTGCCGTTGCCTGTTCCTCTGGGAACGTTTGGGTGTTGATTTTGGGTCTGAGCCTCTGGGTTTAGGCTCAGTGCCCCTGGCTGGTATGCTTGCTCCCACACCTTACCCCTCGGTTTTCGGTCGGTTGGGACCGTTTTCCCAGGGCGTTCTGCTGGGGTCTGTGCTTTGCCTTTTAGTGGTGTTCTCCGCCGGCAAATGTGGTGGTTTGGGCTCCCCCTGGTTCGATTCTGGGTTCCTTTGGGTTCCTTGGTTTCGTTCTGGAGGTTTCTTCCTCTTGGGCCCCCTTTTGTGGGTTCAGGGGACTTTGTTTCCTCGTGTGACCCGGTTCTGCCTTTTGGGGTTCCGGGGTCTTCCTGGCTTGCAGACTGAGCTTTTGGGTCTTGGCACATGTTGTGGTTGTGCTGGGACTTTGTGGTTTTGCTGTCGAGGTGGGCCTTTTGATGCAGTTTTGTGCCTTCTTTGCCTGGCCGGCGTAGTGCTCTCTGCCACTAGTCGGCGGCTTGTGCTTTTACAATATATGTCCTCACCTAGTTGTGCTTGTGGGGGTTGAGCTCTGGCTCCTTGGTCCTGCCTTTCAACCGTCCGTCAACAGGTGTATCGGTTCCTGTGCCTCTTGGGCTCTGTCATGTCTACATGTGACATTGTATGGGGGTCAGCCTCGTTACTTGTGTGAGGAGTCGCCACATTACTTCTTAGTGCTTTCCCGTTCCCATTCTGACACTCAAAAAAAAAAAAAAAAAAAAAAAAAAAAAAAAAAAAAAAAAAAACTTTAATTCTATCTGGCTCTTTTGGGTACTCAGTTTCCACCTGTGTCCCCTAGTGCGTGTGCCCCTTGTGTTACATAGCCTGTCCTTCTCAACCCTGTCGATTCCCTTGGGTATCTTGTATGTGGTGATCAGGTCTCCCCTCACTTCCTCTTCCAGCGAAGTGTGGTTTCATTCCCGTAGTCTCTCCTCATGACTTCGGTAGTGTACTTTTTCTTTCTGTAGGGGTTCTGTTCCCTTCTCTGTTGACTGGGCGCTGGGGGAGCAGCTTGCTCTGTTGCCTCTCGCTTGGTCCCGCTGTTGGTGGGCGCTTTGGGTTGTCTTCCGGCCTCTGCTGGCATCGGAGGACGGCTTCTCCCCCTTGGGGGGGGGGTTCAGAGCTGGCGGGGTGGGCTTCTTCCCTGCACTTCGTCATTTCCTCTTCGTGGGTGCGTGGGGCGTGGTCGATCCGCCCCATCCTTCTGGGCTTCCCGTCTGCTCTTTGCAGTCATGAGCTTTTCCCGTCTGCTCTTTGCAGTCATGAGCTTTTCCAGTCTGCAGTTCTTCTGGACTACTTCCGTCTGCACCCTGGATCCTCTGCCCTGCTCGGAGGACTGTTGTCTCCTGTTCGGATTCTGTTAGGGCCGGGTGCATGGATGGTGGACCTGGACCTCCAGGTCACTTCTTGGCACGTTCCTCTCCAGTTTTTCTGGGGCTAGCACGGTTGGTAATTACCTATGTGTACTTACCTAAGTGTAGTTACAGGACGAGAGCTACTCTCGTGGTGTCCTGTCTTCCCAGCACTCTGTCATATAATGCTTTGATTATAATTGTCATATTGTCATATAATGATTGTCATATGTCATAATATGTCTTAATATGATTGTCATACAATGCTTTGGTGGTGGGGCTTCAGGTTTGCTGTTTTTATTGCATTCCCTATTTTGTGAGGGCACTTTGTATACTCTTTGCATCTTTACCGGATCTTAGTGCCCTGTCTGCGTCTGAGATTCGGTGTCTGGCCTACCTCGACGACTGGCTGGAGTGGGCTCCCAGTCAGTCCGCTTGTCTGCTCGCCAGGGGATGGTTCTTTCCAGATCGCTGGGTTTGGTTTCCTGGTGATCTGGAGGTTTTACCTTCTGTTTCCGTCCCGGGTTCGGACCTGGGCCTTGTTTCAGGCTCTTGGGCCCCTCATTGTCTTCCCTCCAGAAGTGTTACTGTGGCTGTGGTCCCGCCTTTGGCTGTTCAGGAGGGGGTCCCGGGTTGCTCAGCGGTTGCTTGGGCGGTTGTGCGGGAGTTTGCACTTCGGCGTGCTTGTCTGCCCGCGGAGTCGGGTTTGGCTCCGGCGTCGGTTGGTTCCTACGGAGACTCCACTTCCGCCTCTTGCATTCCTTGGGTTCCTCTGGGGATCTGGTGTTGGTGCTGCGTCACCAGCTTCCTCTTTGGGGTTTTCGGGGTTCCGTGCCTTGGCAGCTCCCCGAGCCTTCGCTCGATGTGTTCACGGACGGGTCGTCTCTCGGCTGGGACTTTGTGACCAGTGCTCACCAGGTCGGCCGAGGTTGATGGAGTCTGTCTGTCCGTCGGGCTCACAGCCCGGTTCAGGTGTTCATGGCTGTCTGGTTTGCGCTTCGGAGGGTTTGGGTCACTAGGTACTCTACCATTCAGCTCTGTTTGGACTGTTCTCTGGTGGTTCTTGCCGGAACCACAGGGGGTTTGGTTAACCGTGTGGTTCGTGTCCGGGGTGTGTCCTGCGTCCTGGTGGACAGCTGTCTCGGTTCATTCCTCTTCGTGGGTTGGCCAGTCGTCGCCGATTCGTTTTGTTGGCTCTGTTGGGCTTATGGACTCCTGGCCATGGACGTCTTCGGGTCGGCGTGGTCTAGGCGTCGCCCGTTTTGTGGCGCCCTTCCCACCTGTGAGGACTTCACGGTGGAGGCTTTAGGCAGGCCTGGTCGAGGTGGGGGGTACCTGTACCTCTTCTCCCGGTCCAGCTGTGGCTTCGGGTTCTGGCTCGGTTGCAGCCCATTCCCACGAGAACAGTCCTTATGGTTCCACGGTGGCCGGCCCGGCCTTCTTTTCAGACGCTGCTTGATAGGTGTCCGTACCCGGGGCGTTTTGAGGCTTCGCCTCTTTCAGCAGGCCGAATCGGTTCTGTCCGTGACTGGTTCGGCCTTCTCTTTGGCTCTTCGCGTCTGGTATTTTGACGCAGGTATCGCCATCTCTATGGTGTTCAGGTGGCTTTGTTGACGGTGTCCCACCTGCGAGCTTCGTCTTGGAGACTGTATGACGTTTATTACGTTTTCTCGCGTTTTGTTTCCCCTCCGGCCTGCTCATGAGTCGCCTGAGCCATCCTGGTCCTTGTTCAGGGTGCCTTCTTCTCTTCCCCTCAGTTTGTGGTAGCCCCTTCGGTTTCAGTTTCCTCCTCTTTGGTACTGGTGGTAGCTTTATTGGTGTGCAGCCTTTCTCTGTCCTGGCGACGGTCGAGACGGCTGCTTTCCGGAGGGGTTCTTGGGGTTTTGGTACTTGTTTGGTTTGGCCGGGGGGTGCGTCCTGTGTTGTCCAGTTGTGCTTTTTGCTGTTGCCGGCGTGCCGTGCCTGGGGATGCGCTGTGGTTGATCCGGTTCCTTCGTTCCCTGTTTTCAGGGCTCGGGTCTCCCGGGTCGTACGCAGTGTTTTCCTTCTTCCTGCGGTCTGTCTTTGCGCCCGTGCTGTTCTGACGTTTGCAGCAATTGCTGCTGTGTTGGTGACGTCTCGGGCTCATTTCGGGCGCAGGGAATTGTGGGTCGCACAGGTTTTTGGCCGCCTATCCATATGTGCATCTGTTCTTGGGCGTTCTTGTTGCCTTGGGTCGCAGGTTTGCGACCGGTTGTCTTGGCTTTGCGTTGCAGAGTTTGTGGCGGCCGCCTCCCGGGTTAGCCCTTTCTTTTCCTTCTCTTTGGGTATGAAGCTCCAGGGAGCCGTAGGGGCTCCCCACAGAAAACCAGCGTTGAATGTAATGAAACGCCATTTTCTGGGTGAGCCCCGGAGGCTCCCTGGAAACCCTCCCTCCCACCGGTCGGCGGTTTTTTCGCGTTGGTTGAAGCTTAGCTTCCGAACTGGAGCTTGGCAGCCGGCGCGGTAGGTCCGGGGCTCCCCCCTCCCCCTCCCGGGGTGGGGAGGGCTGCGCGGACGATCGGCGCGGCAGTAAAGTGTGATGTTTGCTTGTTTGCTTGTTTCCTTGGGATTGTAGGGAGTTTTCTACCTCTCTGTTCGGTTTTTGTTGTAGTTTCTTACCATGTGGGGTTTGTTTTGTTACGCCTACCTTTCTGGGTGCCTAACCCCGGTCGATGGCAGATAAGGAAAACCCCCAACCATATGGGGTTTTCCAGGGCCATTGCTCCCTGAAACCTCTCTGAAGGGGCCAGGTTCTGGCGCTGGTCCCTGGTAGGTCTGAACTCCTTAGCTAATGTCCCGGTCTAACATAACATACATTAGCCCGATAAGCTCCAGGGAGCCTCCGGGGCTCACCCAGAAAATGGCGTTTCATTACATTCAACGCTGGTTTTTTGGCCATATGGGCAAACGGCCAAATTCACACGTAATTTGAAAGAGACGAAATTTGTAAGAGGACAGGTTTGCTCATCCATCAGTGATCCTGAATCAGTGACGTCATTGTGATTTTCTTCTCTCCACCACAGCCAAAGTAAGCTATGCAATTTTTTTTAATTTCTTGTGAGCAGGGAATCATTTTAACAATACTGTATCTGATGAAAAAAATTGCATCATTTGACAGAGTGGTAGGAAGACAGAACTCTGCAAGCATAGCTCTCATCCTGTAATTATATTTAGGTAATTATACAGGAAGTATATTATTACACTGAACTGTATGATGTGTTGATCATTTTGTAAGCTGTCTGATAACACTTCTTCCATTAGTATTTGGGGGCTCAAATCCATCTTATTTAAATTCTCGATATACCCATGGTATATACATCATACCTTTGCAATTTAACATGTATTTCTCGAGGGTCATCCCTCGAGAAACAAGAAATGTAACAAGAAATTATGTATAGAATATATTCAGATAATAGATCCTTTAACTCACTCTTTTAGAATCTTTACATGAATGTAGCAAACTTCACTTATATAGTATGTGTGTGTAATACATTTTAGACAGTGATGTTATATCAAAGGTTTGCACTATCTTTCACAGGTGCATTTGGAGCGTGATCCAAGAGAATGTTTTGCTACTTCCGGAGTCATTAGTAAGCTTGCCATTAGCAATGAAGCCCGACTGGAGATATTGAGGGATCTATTGTCCACTGAACTCTCTCTCGATACCACAATGTCCTCCACAGTTACTACCTATAGTCCAGCATATTTCTTGGGAAGGCATGAGGTTTGTGTACTCAAGAAACTAGAAATACCAGATCCTTTATATATCAAATTTATTTTTTATTACACTTGTTCTCTGTTTGGAACCTGTGACACTGAAGCATGATTTATATTACAAATTATTTAATAAGAATGCAAAAATTTTTGTTGATAGAGCTGTTAATAGATCTACATGTTAAGTAGATCTTTTGATTCTTATGGTTATTTACCCATGTTCTTTATTTTTCAAAAAATTCTCTTGTTCCAGCTGAAGCAAACTCTCCTAAATACATTGAAACCACACATGGAGGGCCAGGAACTGAAGAGGCCTCAGCTGACTATCCAGTTTGTGACCTCAGGGATGGCAGCCAGACAAGCAGATGAGACTGTGTTACCACTTCTCATGAGTGCTTGCCCTTTGACTTTTTCTACTGTTAAGTATTTTGAGGTACATTACTTTGCATAATTTATTTTGGCATGTTTAAATTGGCTACTGAATGGTTCAGTTTGATTAGCCAAGTTACATAATCAAGGCTTTCATACCAATATCATTATCATCCTTTTAACCTGCATGGGGTTGAGAGGCATTTACCCAGATAAGATTGAGAGATATTGTAATAAAAGTTAATTAAAGATTTTAATTGTGGCACCTGTCCTTTTCACACTTCGTCTAGAGACAAAGTGGAAAAAATGCTCAAGGAGCTAAATAAGAACAAAGCAGTTGGTCCAGATGGAGTTTCACCATGGGTTCTGAGAGAATGTGCACCTGAGCTCAGCATTCCACTTCAACTGATTTTTTAGGCATCCCTGTTTACAAGAGTTGTAGCTGATGTGTGGAAAAAGGCTAACATAGTTTCAATCTACAAAAGTGGAAGCAGGGAAGACCCCCTTAATTATAGACCTGTATCATTGACAAGTGTAATAGTCAAAATATTGGAAAAAATAATTAAAACTAAATGGGTAGAACACTTGGAGAGAAATGATATAATATCAGACAGACAGTATGGTTTTCGATCTGGAAGATCCTGTGTATCGAAGTTACTCAGTTTCTATGATCGAGCAACAGAGATATTACAGGAAAGAGATGGTTGGGTTGACTGCATCTATCTGAACCTAAAAAAGGCTTTCGACAGAGTTCCACATAAGAGGTTGTTCTGGAAACTGGAAAATATTGGAGGGGTGACAGGTAAGCTTCTAACATGGACGAAAAATTTTCTGAATGATAGAAAAATGAGGGCAGTGATCAGAGGCAATGTATCGGACTGGAGAAATGTCACAAGTGGAGTACCACAGGGTTCAGTTCTTGCACCAGTGATATTTATTGTCTACATAAATGATCTATCAGTTGGTATACAGAATTATATGAACATGCTTGCTGATGATGCTAAGATAATAGGAAGGATAAGAAACTTAGATGATTGTCATGCCCTTCAAGATGACCTGGACAAAATAAGTATATGGAGCACCACTTGGCAAATGGAATTTAATTTTAATAAATGCCATGTTATGGAATGTGGAATAGGAGAACATAGACCCCACACAACCTATATATTATGTGAGAAATCTTTAAAGAATTCTGATAAAGAAAGAGATCTACGGGTGGTTCTAGATAGAAAACTATCACCTGAGGACCACATAAAGAATATTGTACGAGGAGCCTATGCCACGCTTTCTAACTTCAGAATTGCTTTTAAATACATGGATGTCGATATACTAAAGAAATTGTTCACTACTTTTGTTAGGCCAAAGCTAGAATATGCAGCGGTTGTGTGGTGCCCATATCTTAAGAAGCACATCAACAAACTGGAAAAGGTGCAAAGACACCCTACTAAGTGGCTCCCAGAACTGAAGGGCAAGAGCTATGATGAGAGGTTAGAGGCATTAAATATGCCAAAACTAGAAGACAGAAGAAAAAGAGGTGATATGATCACTACATACAAAGTAGTAACAGGAATTGATAAAATCGATAGGGAAGATTTCCTGAGACCTGGAACTTTAAGAACAAGAGGTCATAGATTTAAACTGGCTAAACACAGATGCCGAAGAAATATAAGAAAACTTTCGCAAAGAGAGTGGTAGACGGTTGGAACAAGTTAGGTGAGAAGGTGGTGGAGGCCAAGACCGTCAGTAGTTTCAAAGCGTTATATGACAAAGAGTGCTGGGAAGACGGGACACCACGAGCGTAGCTCTCATCCTGTAACTACACTTAGGTAATTACTGCTTTAGTCAGTAGCATCTCTGAAAAATAGCACCACTAAACTCAGGCAAATTATCCACTGCAGGTACCTCAATCTCTTCATAGATTGGGTGTAAGGTACTTCCTGTGAGTTGTCGTAGGCAAAATACTAGTCATTAATTCTTTAGCAAAGTGGTTCCACTCAGGCTGTTCAGGTGCCATTCAGTCATATTTGAACTGAACATTTGCAAGGTTTCCAAGATTGTTTCCTTTATTTAACCAAAGATGTCAGTGCATCCTTGTGGATGGGCATATCATAGCTACTACTCTCTGAGATGAAGACCTGTATCTGTAGCTGGATGCTAAGTCTGAGCTTGAATTTATATTTATATTTTAAATTGGGCTGTGTTGAAAAGGTGGCCATGAAAAATTTGCCCTTTGTCAAAATTTACTTCAATTTAATCAATAACAACAGAAACACTACCTTATCTATCACTGGTAATTTACATTATACAGTATAGAGAGGTGGAACATTTAACACTTTCACTCGCCGACTGTACCCTGTGTAAATTTCCCCTTGTGCGTCGTTCGTTTTGGGCGACCGCGCAGCGACACTTAAATGTTTATACTCCTTTTGGTCTGCTCACCTTAAATTTCCATGTATGTATTTAAGTTTGGCATCATTTTGTTCGCAAGAGAATGCTCTAGAGAAATATATCTATGAAATTTCTCCAAAGCTGACGTGAGACCCACAACAAATAAAAAACTGTGGCGATCATTAGCTGTGAGCGCCAAACTGCGATGAAATGTTCATGCTCTTTTCAGGTCTGTCAGCCCCAGAATTGGTCCATGTCGTTAATTTTGGTAACACTGTGATTGCAATAAAATTCCCTACACGGACATATGAATACAAAATACAAATCATGGGCTTCCCACCCGCAAGACCGGGGAAGTTGCCCAAGGGTTACCCGTTACCGCACACCCAACTGCACATCGGCTACACAACTACTGAAAAGTTTATACTCTTTTCGTGTTTCTGACCTTCATTTTCGATGTACGAGTTTTATTTTGGTATCAATGTGTTGCCATTGAAATGTTCTAGAGGAACATATGTATAACATGTCACCAAAGCTAACGTGATGCCAGCACCAAATAAAAAGTTAAGTCATTTGTTAGCCGTTCACGCCAAACAGCGCGAACATGTTGCTACTCTTTTTAGGTTTATCAGGTCCAAACGTGTTCGACATCGTTCTTTTTTTGTATCACTGTGATCGCAATAAAATTTCCTACAGACATATGCATATAAATTAGACAACATGGGCGCGCCTCATCCGCAACAACCCCTAAAGTCATCGAAGCCTTACCCGCTACACCCAATACAATACACCAGACAAACACATACAGTTTGCTAACAGAAGTTTTTGTGCAAAATTGTTCATTGTGGTGTCAAATTATTCACAATAAAATGCTCTAAATAGAAAGACAAATATAAGCAATAACAACCACAATATATATAAGCAATACCAATAATAAAGTACTGTATAAAGACTAAAATCGGCAAAGTTACCCGTGAGCGTGCAAAATCTGTCAAATGTATATACTCGTTTCAGTTTTCTCACTTTATTTCTCGTGCTACATGGTTCATTTTGGTATCATCGTGTTCGCAATAGAATTCTCTTTAGGGGTATATGCATATAATGTCTAAAAGCCCGGATTGACTCCCCACAGCAAAGCCTAAAGTCGGCCAAGTTACTTATGAATGAGCACCAATTGGCACACGTCATCGGAGTGCGAAAGTGTTAATCACAGACACACTGTCACCTCCAGTTTGGTGAGATTGTAAGTCTGCCCCAAGGGTGTAGCAGTGTAAGAGCACTTGTCAATGGCGCTTAATTAAAATTCAAGATAAAATAATGACTAGTATTGCCAGGAGTGTATGAACCATGTGGAAAATCCATTTTGAAGTTGGACATGTTATATATGCGGCCTTTGGAAAAAACTAAAACTACAACTCAGATTGATAGTACCTTTCTTATTGAAGTTTCTTCTCTGGAAGAAAATGCTAAGATCTGCAGAATAATACAAGTTACAGGTGCTACCTTTTAATGTGATCCACATGCCACTTGAAGCCTAAGCTGGTGTGTGGTGTTCTTTCATGAACTACTATTGCAATACTCTGAGGAAAGACTTGAAGGGAAGTTTCAGAGCAAACTGGTTTGAGCAAACTGGTTTCATTTCTTTTAGGGGAGTTACCTGCGTACTGTGTCTGGGGATGCGCTTTGGGTTGATCCGGTTCCCCTCGTTCCCTGTTTCAGGGCTGTTTCAGGGGTCTCCCAGATCATTCGTACAGTTTTTAAGTCTTCCAGCCTGCGGTCTGTCCTTGCGCCTGTGCTGTTCGGACATTTGCAGCTTTTGCTGCTGTGTTGGTGATGTCTAGGGCTCATTTCGGGCGCAGGGATTTGAGGGTCGCACAGGTTCTTGGCCGCCCATTCTTTATGCGCATCTGCTCCTGTGCATTCTTGTTGCCTTGGGTCGCAGGTTGCAGCCTGTTATCTTGGTTTCGCATTGCGGAGTTTATGGCGGCTGCCTCCTGGGTCAGCCCTTTCTTTTCCTTCTCTTTGGGTACGAAGCTCCAGGGAGCCGTAGGGGCTTCCCACAGAAAACCAGAGTTGAATGTAATGAAACGCCATTTTCTGGGTGAGCCCTGGAGGCTTCCTGGCAACCCTCCCTCCCTCCCTCCTACCAGTCGGGTTTTTTTTCGCTTTGGTTGAAGCTTAGCTTTCGAACTGATGCTAGGCAGCCGGCGCGGTAGGTCCGGGGCTGTCCCCCTCCCCCTCTCGGGGCGGGGAGGGCTGCGCGGACGATCGGCGCGGCAGTGAAGTGTGATGTTTTCTTGTTTCCTTGGGATTGTAGGGAGTTTCTACCTCTGTTCGGTCTTTTGTTTTAGTTTTTTACCATGTGGGGTTTGTTTTGTTATGCCTACCTTTCTAGGTGCAAACCCCGGTCGATGGCAGATAAGGAAAACCCCAACCACAAGGGGGTATTCCAGGGCCATTGCTCCTTGAAACCTCTCTGAAGGGGCCAGGTTCTGGCACTGGTCCTTGGTAGGTCTGAACTCCATATCTAATGTCCCGGTCTAATATAACATACATTAGCCCGATAAGCTCCAGAGAGCCTCCGGGGCTCACCCAGAAAATGGCGTTTCATTACATTCAACGCTGGTTTTTTCCTGTTGGCATTTGCCTCTCGGGACCGGGTCGCTGAGCTTCTTGCTCTCCTGCGGCGCAGGCGTTTTCTGCTCCTTCAGTCATGGCGATTGGTTTGTTCGGTTGAAGCCGTCTCGCTGTTTTCTGGCACGGGATGAGGCTGCTGCTTTCCAGACGGATCCTTGGTTTGTTGGTGCTTGTTTGGTCGGGCAGGGGGTGCATCGTGTTTTGTGTCCGATTGCGGCCCTCCGCTTTTATTTGTGCTCAATGGCTTCTGTGTCTAGGACACTCTTTGGGTTGATCCGGTTCCGTTCTTCCCTGTTCGTGGGTGAAGGTCTCCTAGGTCGTCCGCCGTGTTATTGTGGCTGGCCTTCCTGTGTTCTATCCCCGTGGCCGTGGCATTCGTAGATTCGCTGCTCTTGCTGCTGTCTTGGCGGTATGTCCTAGCTGACATTCGGGCATGGGGCTTTTAGCGATCGTACAGGGGCCTGGCTGCTTGATATCTCATGTTGTTCCCATGCCCATTCGGGCCTGTGTCGCCTTGGGTTGATGGTTGCAGCCAGTTGTCTCGACTTTGAGTTGGGGAGTGTGTGGTGACCACCTCCTGGGTACGTCCCTCTTCTTTCCTCTTTGGGTAGTTAGCTCCGGTTTGGCTCCTCCCAGAAAACCAGTGTTGAATGTAATGAAACACCATTTTCTGGGTGAGACCTGGAGGCTCCCCGGCATCCCTCCCTCCCTCCGGTTGGCATTTTTTGCATTTTTTGACATCCAGCGTCAGAACAGATTGGGGGGGGGGGAGCTGCGCAGACAGCAGTGCTGTGATATGTGACGTGATGATCGTTTGCTCATTTCTTTTAGGGGAGTTCTATCCACTTGTTCGGCTTGTGGTAGCAATTTTCACCAGAATAGGAGTTTGTTTTGGGACGCTTACCTTTTTGGGTGTCTGACCTGGTCGATGGCAGACATAGAATGCATCCAACCACATGGGGGTTTCTATAGGCCATTGCTCCCCTTGCCTCTCTGAGGGGGGCCAGGTTCTGGCTCATGGTCCCAGGTAGGCCCATAGAACTCCATACACATGACTGATGCCAAAGTCTGACATTAGCATATCAGCCTGGATAAGCTCTGGGGAGCATCCGGGTCTCACCCAGAAAATGGCGTTTCATTACATTCAACGCTGGTTTTTTGTTGTTTGAAGTAACCAATTTTAAGCCATGGATTATTTAGCGCATTTGAATTGTAGTCCATTAGATTTGATCTATACAGTAATAGACATACACTTTCATTAATTATTTGCATTCTACCAAATTTCATTTCCCTGTACTGTATATATTTTTAACTCCTTCAGTGAAGGTTGTTTGATGAAGCTTATATATAGTCTGTATAGTCTGAAATTAAATTTTGGCATAAGATTAGGTACAGCATTATTTTCTTCCTTTTGTAATTTGATAAACAATAAATGAAATAAAATTTAATATTTAATTCTGTTATGTAGTTGTATTTTATCATCACTTGCTCTCTCTCAAGTACAGGTATTTAAATCACATAGTTAATGTGATTTTCTTTATTGATACTTTTCATCAGGCTCTAAAAACCTCGGCTATTGGACGCCTTGTGATCTACTGCGATGTGATGACTTCCAGCATGAAAGTAACGGCGGGACACCCACCTCTTATTCATGGCATAGTGGTGCTACCAACACAACAGACCCATGGAAAGGGTAAGAAGCCAGAGATAACATCTGACTAGTAGTTAACATTGCTATTGCTGTTTATATGTGCAGAGATATAGTCTACTGTATATATCTGGGCGAATGCTCTAGGCTGATAGTTACTGGATTGGCTGCCTAGAGGCATACGTGAGATGGTATTATTTTCATTGGCAAAGTCACAATTCATTGACTCCCATCCATACCCAGAGTATATCATACAATCTCATCAACATCCTTCTACAGTGTTTTCTCAAAACACTAGGAATGTCTCGAGAAAGCCTTCAACTAACTGAATACTGAAGAAATATATTGTCTTATCAGTTGTGAAGAAATATGAGTTAATAAGAAATTTTTGAAAGTGGTGACAGATCTTTGCTGAATACATATCGGCTACAACTTTGAGTGATATTACGAGGAAAATAGATTGTGCAATATTATAATCAAAAGGAGAATCATAAATGCTTGGCAAAGAAGAAATTAGTAAGCTATCTTAAAGTGAAGTGTTGATTACAAAGTGAGATAATGTTAAAAACCAATACCAAAATAACTTCTTATGGAAAAAGCAAGGTTTTCAATGATAAAAGTACATATATATATAACCACATCATGTTTAGATAGGACTGGGTGGTTAATATCATTTAAGAGCCATCATGGAATCAGATGTCAAGGTTGTAGGCTAGAGGCAGCCTGTTGACAGTGCTGGTGCCCTTGTGTATAAAACCAGCTATTGAATGTAATGAAACGCCAATTTCTGGGTGAACCCCGGTGCTTCCTTGAGCAGTCTTGCTGAGATGGCTCCCAACTACTAGGTCACATCAGCCATGGAGTTCTTAGGCATACCGAGGACCAGAACCAGAACCTGGCCCCATTAAGAAGCTTCAGGAAGAAGATTACAGTCCATCATCTCACCAGGAAAGCCTTCCAGCAAATCGGTGAACAAAATCTGATAACTACAGGGTTCAAAAGAGACTGAAGTCTTGTAACCCGACTAATAAACTCCTCCAACTATTTAACCAAATGAGTGAATATCTCGAAACTAGTGTGTGCGTGTTCACCCTACTTCCTCCACTAATTTTGGGGAGGCAGGGAGAAGCCCACACCCTCCAAAGGCTTGAGCACTCAGTTCTGGAGCAGATGCATACATAAACCCCAACCCGACAATCTGGAAGAAAGGAAGGGAATCAGGGAGCCACCAGGGCTCACCCAGAAATTAGCATTTGATTACATTCATTGTTTGTTTTTTAGGGGGGAGCCCCATGTGACTTCCAGAAACCCATGTAGAAGGAGAAAATACAGGGCCTTACCAGGCAGGCGGTAGAACCACAGGCAGTCAGGACAAGGATGAGAACCAAGGCCAGGAGATCCGACCCAAGGCCACACAAGGAAGCAGAGGCCTGGGAACATTAAGTGTCTGAACACCAGAACCTTGTTAGACTGCCAAAACCCCCCACACTCAAATCTCAACCCAGAACATATTAGTAAACACAGCCTCCAGAATGGTGTACTTCTGAACATCAGGAGTATGAGGGCAGAATGCAGGATGGATAGATTTAATAACATGACAGATGATCTTAGAAACTTAAGCCATATAACAGGTAACCAAGGACAGGAGATCAACCTACAAATTAACCACTAGTTCAGAATCGGTGGCACCCAAGGTAATAGCAGAGAGCTGCCAGTGGACACAGTACATGACACATCCCTGGTCGTGCCAACCAATCATCAATAACCAAAGGACCCATCAAGAAGCCAGCCAACTCATTCTTTGCCAGAAAAGGAGAAGACAGCTACAAATGAACAAAATGCCCACCAGGGCTAAAAGAACAAAAACCCTCTCCTCTGGAGGAGAGCATGACCCTCCCCAACCCCAACAACTGGAGGCAAGAGTCATCAAAAAGAGAGCCTTAGTAAAAGAATCCTTAGAAAAGAGTGTGTTGGATGCCATTCTGTTGGCCTATTGTCCTCATTTCCCAGCTTCCTAAACTGTATATTCTATGGTATGCATCCTTGGGTTAAGTACTTATGTTCATGTCATGTGTACAGTTAATATATTTTCACCATGAAAAAAAAACGCGGGTGCCTTATTGAGAAATAGTGGCGAATGGATTGAAATGCCCCTTTCTGAGAAGCACTTTGGTACCTACATGATCTTGTCCTTCAATTCTCTTATCTTGAGGTTATCTTGAGATGATTTCGGGGCTTTTTAGTGTCCCCGTGGCCCGGTCCTCGACCAGGCTTCAACCCTCAGGAAGCAGCCCGTGACAGCTGACTAACAGCCAGGTACCTATTTTACTGCTAGGTAACAGGGGCATAGGGTGAAAGAAACTCTGCCCATTGTTTTTCGCCGGCGCCTGGGTTCGAACCCAGGACCACAGGATCACAGGATGTTCTCTTCTTGACTGAGCTAGCTTGGATGGGATGAGATTAAAGTAGGGTTACTCTTTCCCAATATATTTGCACAGTTGTACTGCCATTTAAGAGGTAGTACTAGGTTGATAGGTGTTTGGTTGCTTCAGAGTAATCTGTGGCAATTTTTAAGTTGCCAGGGATCATTTGGAGGGAGCTTTTAGTGATCAAGAGGGTTTCAGTGTATCATAGTGAGCAATTACCTCAGGGTAGATGAAGGGATGCTTTCCATTGAGCTCCTTTCCATTGTTTATGGTGAATACCAACTTGAAAATGTTCTTTCTTGGTGACATGAGGCTCCTGAGCCAATTATGTAACCTTTTCCACAACCACCCACAGGATGGGTATGAGGTGCATAATAAATGAACTAAAGACTTCTGGGAAGGAAAGTTGCTCAGACTCTGGCACACTGTCAGTGTCACGAGGAACAGGATGGAGAGGCAGTTAAGGCATATTGAGATTCAGTACTGGGGTGCTGCTCAGAAAAGGGCATCTTGTTACTGTTAACTCTATTTTTATTAAAAAAAATCCTAATTTTAAAGGTTACCTTGCAATTGAGGGTGGGGCAAGTTTTTTTCTAATTCAGAACTTAAAAGGGTTTGTATGTAAATGTGTTGATAATGTATGAAGAGTAATTAAATATATCATAGATTTGCATTAATATTTTCTCTCATAACTGCCCATCACTGCAGGTCGTAGTGGGAACAGCTGGTTGTCACCGCTAGGCTGTGTCATGTTTACATCTCAGCTCCACATAGCATTGTCCTCCAATCTAGGCCAACACCTGACATTCCTGCAACACCTTGCAGCTATGGCAATAGTGCAGGCTGTCAGAGAGCACCCAGGATATGCTGATATACCAATTCATCTTAAATGGCCAAATGATATCTATATTGGCACAAATATCAAAATAGGAGGAGTGATTGTTGAGGCAACAACAGTTGGAAGTGAAATTATAGCAAATGTTGGTAAGTATTTTTTGTTTTTGTTTTTTTTACTTTTTCATATCTGAAGTAATCTTAATGGCATTGATTTCATCTGATTTTATGTTTAAATATTGAATTTTGTTCTGTGCTGCATGGAGACTTGCTTGTTTTATATTTTTGGCATGATCTGAACATTGGCAAAGCCCAATCATACATTAGGGGCTAAGAAAGAGCCAGAAGTATTTCACGATTCAATCTTTCAAATTACAATGACTGCTCGCTAATTCAGATTATGTGAGGCATACCTGCATCCAAGTTTTATGGAAATCCATGTTAAGAACATAAGAATTAGGGAAACTGCAGAAGGCCTATTGGCCCATAAGAGGTAGTTTTAGTTTTATCCACCCAAATGCATTCATATAAATGTCTAACCAATGTTTGAAATAGTTCATCTATTCTGTATCTATTATGTTATCCTATAATTTGTTCTATTACCCTAATTCTTTAAATTTATTTGATCTGTTTTAGGTTGTGGAGTAAATCTGTCAAACAGCAATCCGACCTATTGCATTAATGATGCTATACGCCAGCACAACAAGGAACATAACACTTCTCTCTCTGAACTGGATAGAGAAACATTTTTGGCTAGGATCTTCAATTATTTTGAAGATCTTATTGAAACTTTCCAAGTTAAAGGTCCTGGAGCAGCTCAACATATTTATTACAAGTACTGGCTACATAGGTAAGAAATAGGCTGGTTCTAATTTGTCCATTTGAACCAAGAATGGAAAATAAACAAACTGTTTTCTGGGGGGAGCCCCTTTGGCTTCCCGGAGCTATCTAGGATGATATGTATATCCCTTACCTTTGGCATCAGTCGGTGTGGATGGAGTTCAAGGCCTACTGGGGACCACGAGCCAGAACCTGGCCCCCTTCAGAGAGGCACAAAGAACAATGGCCTATAGAAATGCACATGTGATTTGGGGCATTCTATATTTGAAATCGACCAGGACAGGCACCCAGAAAGGGAAGTGCCTCAAAACAAACCCCTATTCTCATTAAAACAACGAAAATAGCCAAACGAGTAGACAGAACTCCCCAAATGTAAACGAGCAATCAAGCACGACATCACATGAGGCGCCGCTTGTCTGCGCAGCTTCCCCCTCCCCGGGAGGGGGAAGGGGGAGCCAGACCCACTGCTCCAGCGATCTAACCACTAGTTCTTAGGGTGATGTGATTAGGCACGGTCGAGTGGCTCAAGCTCGGTAACACCTTCGACCCTGTGTCCTGCGAGCACTGTTACTTCTTTGTGACTCAATTCACCCAATCTTATGATGACTTTATTCGGGTGCAGGCGGCTCAGGCGTTGCATGCTAGGTTTCGGTTGCTGAAACGCTCTCGGTTGGTTGCTTCCCCGGATGCCCCGAGGCTGCCCCGCTTTGCTTAAAGGGACCCGGACTTGGGGGTGTTGGTCGCTTCGACCTTGGTTTAGTCCGAACCCCCTCATTCTTCCCCTGCCCCCCCCCCCCACCTCCCCCTTGCTTCCGACTCTGAAATGTCTGAGGGTTTTGGAGTCGGGGTGGGATCTAGAGGTTTCTGAGACTCGAGCAGTTTTGGGGCTACCCCTTCTGGGGAGGCGACGGATGCATTTGAGCCCCTTCCTCCATCCCTAGCGTTGGGGTCTGACCTGTGGGTCTCTTCTCTTCCTGCTTTTCCAGCTGCCCCGGTTTTTTCTTGAGACCGGGGCTTTGGAGGAGAGCTCGCCCCTGGGGCCTGACATGGAGGCTCCTGGGGTTTAGGAGGAGCTGACTTGGGGGCCTTGGGGCCCCATTGAATCCCCGCCTGGGTTTTCAAACTCTCGGAGTGAGGCTTTCTGTTACACAGAGTGGGGTTTTCCTTTTCCCCTCTGCGTACGAGTTGGATTTGGGTTCGGTTCCATGTCCCTGTGGGTCTTTCAGTTCCATCCTTCCGGAGGTTTTCGGCCTCCCGCGTCTCGCATGCTGAGGTGCGGGCGGCCATTGCGGCTTACCTCCTGTGCGACTCGGCCTATGCTTCGATAATGGATCCATCTACCTTCAGGTTTATATTTTCGTCTCTTATACTGGGTCCGTTATGAGGTTCCAGAGTCGTCCTGGCTTGCGGACTGCCCATTGCTATCATTGGATGCTTTGTGTGCTTTCTGTCGTACCAGCACGCTTGAGTGGCGCGAGGCGTTGACGGTGGTCCAGGTTTTCCTGGGGGCTACTTTGAGCACCTTAATGGGTGCATGTTCGCTCCTGTCCCTCTGCCAGCCTGCGGTCTATCCCTGTGCCCATGATGTTCGTAAGTTTGCTGCTCTTGCTGCCGTCTTTGGTAACATGTCCTGGGCTGTCATTCGGGTGCGGGGAGTTTGGCGGTCGAACAGGGTCCTGGCTGCACGCTACCTCGTTAACGTTCCTGGGGCCTAGTCGGGCCTGTGTCGCTTTGGGTCAGCGGCTGCATCCTGTCTCGACTTCGAGTTGAGATGTGGAGTACCGACTGCCTCCCGGGTAAGTTCCCTTTTTTCTTTTTAGTCTTTGGTGAAGTAGCTCTGGGGGAGCCGTAGGGACTTCCCCAGAAAATCAGCATTGAATGTAATGAAACATCAATTTCTGGGCGAGTCCCAGAGGCTCCCCGACAACCCTTCCTTCCTTCCCTCCCTCCCTCCCTCCCTCCGGTCGGCAGTTTTTGCGTATTTTGATATCCAGCCTCAGAACTGCAGGGTGGATCACAGGCGCTGGGATCTGGGGCTCCCCCTTCCCCCTCCCTGGGAGGAAGGAGCTGCGCAGACATGCGGCGCGGCTCATGTGACATCATGTTCGTTTTCATTTGGGGAGTTCTGTCCACTTATATGTCTATTTCATAGTTTTTAACCAGAATAGAGGTTTGTTTTAGGGTGCTTACCTTTCTGGGTGCCTGTCCCGGTCAATGTCAGATATAGAATGCTCCTAAATCACATGTGCATTTCAATAGGCCATTGCTCCTCATGCTTATCTGGGGGGGGGGGGCAGGTTCTGGCTCAAGGTCCCCGGTAGGCCTAGAACTCCATCTACATCGACCGATGCCAAAAGTTAGGTTATCCATATCATCCTGGATAGCTCCGGGAAGCCTCCGGGACTCGCCCAGAAAATGGCATTTCATTACATTCAATGTTGGTTTTTTGTCAGTCAACCACAATATAGGACTAATAATTAGCAAAGCTGTTTAAGGGTTAAACTGGTTAAATTATATCACAGGATGATTTGCCTGGAAAATGGTTGTCATGGCAGGAGTGTGGTTGCATATTCCATTATTTGATGGCTCAGACAATTATCCACCATATTCGAAAAAACACTCGACTGCTCAAGTTTCCATTCTGAGCATTAATAAATAGATGTGTCTCATGTCTAGCCAGTAATTTATTGTCTACAATTAATTTTTTTTTTTTTTTACTAATTTTCAGTAATGCAACAGTAACAGTTCAAAATGAGCATCGCCGAACAGAGTCTGCAGTCATTGTTGGGGTGGATAACTATGGGTTCTTAGAAGCACAACTTGTGTCAGGCACAACCATCACTCTTCAGCCAGATGGAAACTCATTTAATATGATGGATGGACTCATCTATTCTAAACTTCATTAAAAACTTCTCATGGAAATTGAAGGAAGGAAAATATATGGACATTGATTTTGTAATAAATTGTGATGGGCAGCAAAGTATTCCACTGAACATGATACTAGTTAAACAAGCAAAGGCAAAAAGGTAAGTAAATATTTACATATAAATGTTATAATTTAAATAAAATTTAAATACAGTATTTTAGAAATTAATAGTGTTAATATGGATGTGGGCATACATAATATTGACTAACGAATTGGGGTAGCAAAATAACGCTCAAAGTTCTGACAACAGTGTAGAGAAACACAAAGATGGTAACTGACATATGAACACCACAAGAATCATATTAAACCCAGGAGAGGCAAAGAGACCAAAAGACCGCCAGCAAACTAGAGTGGAATCCAAAATATTTTTTCTCCTATAGAAAATCTAAAACAAAAACACCTAGCATTGGACCACCTTGTGCAGGGAAGATGAAATTTTCTCAGTTGACAACAAAGAAAAATACGGTGGATACAGCATAATTCTGTTTTCAGTGAATACCTGAACACACTGAATTTGCTTGGATTGATAACCCAAACAAATTCATGAATGTGATACTAACGTCAAATCATATACAGTACTGTACTGTATCAGATGTCCTTGTGTATCGGCTGTCCTCGTGGCGTAATGGTAAAGCACTCATCTGGTGCTTCGCAAGCGCTTTGGCCTGGGTTTGTATCCTGGCCGAGAAGGATTGACGGGGTGCCAGTCCTTAACTGTAGCCTCTTTTCACCCTTTCAGTAAATGAGCACCTGGTTGTAAACAATTTGGCGGGTCGTATTCCGGGAAAAAAATTAGGATTAAGGATTTGTCCAAAATGCTATGCGTGCTAGTTGCTTTACAAGAATGTAAAAGCTCTTGTATGTATGTGAGTATATGTATGTATGTATAAAATGTTACCCTAATCCCACTGAACTTTGAAGCAGCCATGGACAGCATTCTCATGCACTCTGCACCAGACCCAGAATCCGAGAATTCTATATACTGTACATCAAGAATTGCAAAAAAAAACACTATCACAGGCCCTAAATAGTATCTGGAGATGGAGCCTAGATACTGGTGTTATCCCTGACAAATAGCTGATTATGCCAATCTACAAAGCTGGTAATATAGCAGACAAAAATGTTACAGACTGATATTACTAACATCATTAAAATCTTTGAATAAGTGCTAAGAAGTAAGATTACAAAACACATGGACTCAAAGCATCAACATAACCCTAAACAACATGGGTTCAGAAGAGGGTGTTCCTGCCTCTCATAATTGCTAGACAATTATGACATGGATTTAGATACCATTGAAATCATCAATCAAAAATTGAGAAAAGTATCAATATCACACACAGATTTAGCAAAAGCTTTTGACAAGTGTTATCATGTTATTGCATGCAAAAGGAACTACTGGAAAAGTAAGAAAATGTATCTTTAATTCCCTAATGTACAGAACCCAGAATGTAATAGTCAGCAAAGTAAAATCCAGATCATTCTCTGCGAAAAGCTCAGTCCCCCATGGTACTGTCCTTACACCAGTACTTTTTCTCATCCTCATATCAGATATACACAGGGAGGACACAAACTCTAGTGCCATATAACCTTTGCAGATAACACTAGGATTTCCATGAGAGCAGACAACATAAAGGATGCAGTAGACCTCCAAACTGATGTAAATTAGGTCTTCCAGTAGGCCACAAAAAGAACATGTTATTTAACCACTATACTGTGCTGCTGTTAAATATGACAAACCCCCAGTTTGCAGTAAAAAATTATTTCCAACATTTTTGTCTTTATATACATATTGTTAAAATCCCTTCTCTGAGCACATTAAATGAAAAACAATAAAAACAAGCACTTTGACTGCAGAAAGTGCAGATGATGACTGATGACATCACTGCTGTGTGTGTTCACCCATGCAGGAGACTATCAGAGCTGGTTGCTGGTGGGCGATTCAACACTTACAAGTGGCCACAAATATATTTGCATCCTTTTTCTGGGGGAGCCCCATCGGCTTCCCGGAGCTATCCAGGCTGAATGGATATGTATATCTGTCTGGCATCAGTCAATGCACGGAGTTCTTACCTACCGGGAACCACGAGCCAGAACTTGGCCCCCTAAAGAGAGGCACGAGGAGCAATGGTCTATACAGACACCCCTGTGATTGGGAGCATTCTGTGTCTGCCATCGACCAGGAAAGGCACCCAGAAAGGTAGGCTCCCCAAAACAAACCCCTATTCTGGTAAAACTATTGCGACTGAAGGCCAAACAAGTAGACAGAACTCCCCAAACGAAAATTAGCAAACTAGCATGACGTCATCATGTCGCCGCGCCCCTGTCTGTGCAACCTCCCCTTGTTCCTGAGAGGGGGAAGGGGGAGCCCCAGACCCATCTGCCGGCGACCCAACCTTCAGTTCTTGGCTGATGGAAGTCTGGTGCGGTCGTGCCTCTGGCTCCGGTTTTTGTTTCAGTTCTGTGCCTTGTGGTGTGGGCTGTCTCTACAGGTGGTGCGTGAGCCAGGAAACATATTCCACGGTACTCAGGCTGCATGCGCCTAGGGTTCCCCTTCTCTAGGTGCCTAGAGCTTGGGGCCTCCTTCCACAAGTCTCCTCAGGATCTACCTCCAATGTGCCATTTACTGCTCGGTACTTGGCCGCCCTTGGGGTCAGCTGAGGTTTTCTTACCCTTGTTTGTCTCTGGGTAGGGGGTAGTTTTTGTCACTGATAGGGGTGTGGGGTACTGCACAGGTAGTTTTCACCTATAACAGTGGCCGGCTCTGTTCCGCCTGGGTACGTTGTCCTCTTGCGGGATTTTTCTTTTGTTTTTGTTTTTTGCCTGGTTGGGGGGGGTCTGCCTTTGTGGTCCCCTGTCGCTGTTCTTTGGGTATATATATCCATATTTTTGTGTTTGGTGGTCCTTCCCGCTTGGCCCCCATGAGTGGACATGTCCCGAGGGTTCAGCTTTAGAAGTTTGTTTGGTAGACTTGGGCGCTGGTTCACGGTACCCTGTCTGGGCTTCCCTTAGCATGTACCCATGGCTAAGGGCCCTGGAAAACCCCACAGGGGCTCCGTGGTGCAATGGATGTGACCTCTGCATCCCCCCTCACGTCTTGCAAGTTGGAAGGTTGCTCTGTCCCCTTGTCTCTGGGTCACACTTGCCTGTTTTGCCTCCGCCATGCTGCCTCTTGGGTCGATGATTGTTTTGACCCAGAGTCGTGCAATGTGTGTTGTCTATATGTGCTCCCATTCACCCAAGCCCCTGATTATGATGTGTGGGTGCAGGCAGCTGCGGCGTTGCATGCTAGGTTTAGGTTGCTGCAACGCTCTAGGTTGCTTGCGACCTCGGATGCCTCGAGACTGCCCCGTTTTGGTTTAGGGGTCCGGACTTGTAGGGGGGAGTCGCTTCGGCACCAGCTCCGTCCGCTCCTCCTCGTCTTTTCCCTTCTGTTGTGCATATTTCCTTCCCCTTGCTTCTGGCTCTGAACCGTAGGTGGGCTTTGGGGTTGGGGCAGGGTATGGTTGGGTTGAGACTTGGGGATTTTCCTCTTCTGGGGTGGCGGCGGAGGCATTTGAGCCTGTTCCTCCAGCCATGCCGTATGGGTCTGACCAATGGGCTCCCTTCCTTAGTAATTACCCAAGTGTAGTTACAGGATGAGAGCTACGCTCGTGCTGTCCCGTCTTCCCAGCACTCTTTGTCATATAACGCTTTGAAACTACTGACGGTCTTGGCCTCCACCACCTTTTCCCCTAACTTGTTCCAACCGTCTACCACTCTGTTTGCGAAAGTGAATTTTCTTATATTTCTTCGGCATCTGTGTTTAGCTAGTTTATATCTATGACCTCTTGTTCTTAAAGTTCCAGGTCTCAGGAAATCTTCTCTATCGATTTTATCAATTCCTGTTACTATTTTGTATGTAGTGATCATATCACCTCTTTTTTCTTCTGTCTTCTAGTTTTGGCATATTTAATGCCTATAACCTCTCCTCGTAGCTCTTGCCCTTCAGTTCTGGGAGCCACTTAGTAGCATGTCTTTGCACCTTTTCCAGTTTGTTGATGTGCTTCTTAAGATATGGGCACCACACAACTGCTGCATATTCTAGCTTTGGCCTAACAAAAGTCGTGAACAATTTCTTTAGTATATCGCCATCCATGTATTTAAAAGCAATTCTGAAGTTAGAAAGCGTGGCATAGGCTCCTCGCACAATATTCTTTATGTGGTCCTCAGGTGATAGTTTTCTATCTAGAACCACCCCTGGATCTCTTTCTTTAAAGATTTCTCACATAATATATAGGTTGTGTGGGGTCTATGTTCTCCTATTCCACATTCCATAACATGGCATTTATTAACATTAAATTCCATTTGCCAAGTGGCGCTCCATGTACTTATTTTGTCCAGGTCTTCTTGAAGGGCATGACAATCATCTAAGTTTCTTATCCTTCTTATTATCTTAGCATCATCAGCAAACATGTTCATATAATTCTGTATACCAACTGGTAGATCATTTATGTAGACAATAAACATCACTGGTGCAAGAAGTGATGTCTCGGCAGCAGTGTGTAGTTTCCTGGTGGTCCTTCTTTTTTCTATCACTGCAAAGGGTTCTTCGGTCTCTGATGGGGTTGTCTTGTCATTCCCTTCGGGGTTGTTCCGGGACCGTCTTCTAGTGTTGTGTACTGTTGCCTCATCTTCGGTGGCGCTGGCAGAGCCTCTCCAGCTTGCGTTCGGTGTTGCCGTTTCTTCTGCTCTGTTCCACTTGCTGTCTTGGGCGTTGTTTCACCTCCGGCCTGCTCTTGCGCTTTAAGTGCCATCCTGGTCGTTTGGCCCGGGTGGTCTATTTTCTTCTCCTTGGTTTGTCATGATCCCTTTGGTTCTGGTGTGTTTTTGTTTTGTTTTTCAGGTCTCCTTTTTATGTTGGTGTTGACCTCCAGGGGTCGGGTCAGGGAGTTTCTGACTCTCCTCCGGCGCCCGTGTTTTTTCTGCCTTGTTGGTCCTCGTGGTAGGTTGTTCTTTTGTTGCAGTCTCCTTCTTCTCGGGTGATGTTTGGGTCTGCTGCTATCCGGAGGGGGTCCTTGGGTTGCTGCTTGGTTGGTCAGGCCGGGGGTGCTTCCTTTGTTGTTCAGTTGCGGCTCTTCGCTGTTCTCTGCACGTTTTGGCCTCTGGGGCTGTGGACGCGTTTTGGTTTGCCCGGGTTCCCTTACTTCCCTCCTTCCTGTTCTGGGGTTCAGGTCTCCCAGGTCGTCTGCAGGGTTCTTCTTTTCGTCTGTGGTCTTTTTTTATGTTAGGGTGTGTGGCGTCCGCCTCCCAGATCCTTCCCTCTTTTCCTTATCTGTGGTGTGGTAGCTCTGGGGAGCCGATGGGGCTTCCCCCAGAAAACCAGCGTTGAATGTAATGAAACACCATTTTCTGGGAGGGAGGGAGGCTCTGAGTCTGGGAGGCTCCCCGGCATCCCGCCCTCCCTCCGGTCGGCGGTGTCTTTCGCTCTTTTTGACATCCAGCCTAAGAACTGAAGGTTGGGTTGCCGGTGGGTGGGTCTGGGGCTCCCCCCTTCCCTCTCCCGGGGAGGGTGGGGTTGCGCAGACAGCTGCGGGCGACATGACGACGTCATGCTAGTTTGCTAATTTTCGTTCGGGGAGTTCTGACCATTTGGTTTGGCCCTTGGTCGCAATAGTTTTACCAGAATATGGGTTTGTTTTGGGGTGCCTACCTTTCTGGGTGCTTACCTTTCTGGGGGCTTGTCCCGGTCGATGGCAGACATAGAATGCTCCCAACCACAGGGGGGGGTCTATAAGCCATTGTTCCTCGTGCCTCTGTGGAGGGGTCCAGGTTCTGGCTCGTGGTCCCTGGTAGGCAAGAACTTCATGCATTGACTGATGCCAGAAAGATATACATATCCATTCAGCCTGGATAGCTCCGGGGAGCCTCCAGGACTCACCCAGAAAATGGCGTTTCATTACATTCAACGTTGGGTTTTTTCAATGAATTTTCATTGCTTCCTAATTGTGTTTTTAATCTTATGTCTATATAAGTAAGTGACAGTATTTACAGAGTTGAACATTCAAGAAGAATAAAAGGACCGTGGTGTCAGAATCCATCATTCACTAATAGTTGCAACACAAATGGGAGCGACAGTAAAAAAGAGCAAACCAAACCCTGGGAATAATCAAGCGTATCTTTACTTTCAAGGAAAAGAAAGTAGTCGTTCAATTGTATAAGTCTCTGGTGCATCCCCACCTGGATTATTGCATCCAGGCATGGAGACCTGATCTTCAGAAAGACACAGCTGCTCAGGAGAAGCAGCAACATTGGGCAACAAAAATCATACCGAAGCTCAGTCATCTCGCATATCAGGAACAGTTGAGGGCCACTGGACTAACAGCACTGCAAACCAGACATGACAGGGTGGATCTCATTGAAACCTTCAAAATACTAAACAGCTTGGAAGGTTGTCGATTCGGACAGTTTCTTCAAAAGGTCAAATGTAACACGAACAAGGAGCAATGGGTTCAAGCTCAACAAACCAAAATGTGGGACAGAAAACGAGATGCTTTTTCACCCATAGGGTTGTAAACTCATGGAACCACCTTCCTGCCAATGCCATAAATGCCAAAACTCTGCTGGGTTTTAAAATACAACTAGAAAAGATTATCAGGGCAAATGGATGAGGGGGGGGGGGGACCTTTGATAAGCCACCGGCTTCCTGTCCTCGTCAAGGCCACTAGTATTGGTGGCTCTCGGGTAAATTCAGGTAAATAATTTCTCATCTTTTTGGTCTAACCTTTCAAAATGGCTAGCCTTGTGTATCACGGTTAGATTTAATACTGTTCATTTAGTTTCATACTCTTGTAACATGTACCTAAACAGAACAAATGTATTGTATATCCAAATCATTTTTTTTGTTTTTTTTCAGTGTTTGTGAAAGATGCATAGCTGCTGTTTCCACCAAATTTTTTTAAGTGAAAAAGTGCTTATTATTCAAGTTTCTACATAAAAGCAAACCATTGTTAATGGTCACAGGTTTATTTAGCCTAAAGTATAATTTTCTATATCTACCAATAATGAACAAATTTGACTAGGATTACCTGTTTTTAAGTAAGTAAAGATTATTTTTGTTTGGCAATGTTAATCTAACAGTTTTTGAGGAGACTCAACTTGACAAGAGGACATTTTGATAGAATAACCATACGAGCCTAAAATTAAAACATTATTTAGAAGTATAGAATAGAGGCATCTCTTGGTATGTTTTGAATTTACAGGTAAAGTATATATTGCAATAAAATGAATGGAATGAATATTGCACATTTTCAGCTGTGAATGATGAAGTTTGTTTTTTGTACACGTTGCAAGGTGATGTTAGGACCACAAGTAGCTGGAAGTATTTTGCTGATTTTTAACCCTAGTTAATGTATTTGTTTTGAAAGTATGATTAGAGTTGTAATGTGTTAATTATGACTCCCATCAATAATAAGGAATAGGGAATAATGAAAGAAAGCTGTTGATAAAAGTATTCTTGCCCTAAATTGGTTTACTTAAGAGATTAAATCTTTGTACAAATTACTCCATTATCAGCTCATCTCTTCCCTCTTGAAAGCTCCAAAATGTTTGTTGTAAATACTAGGACTAAAAGTTTCAGTGCTCTTGAATACATGTCTTTGATTGTTATTCCATGGTGGTGTGTATTATGCTTGGCACTCCCATTCATTCTCAAAATCCAAGGTTGTGTATCGAGGGGGAGACATTCATTTTCAGTTTCATGGGTGCATATGCTCAATGAAAGGTTATAAAATACAAGTTTTGCTTTGGGCATTTCCTCTTGAAGAAAGATTTTTTGTGACATTCACATATTGTTTTAAAGACTAAACCACACACCAGAAAATGAGATGACGACAACGTTACAGCCCATCCTGGACCATTATCAAGTCGATTGTCATATTGACTTGATAATGGTCCAGGATGGACCGAAACATTGTCATCATCTCATTTTCTAGTGTGTGGTTTAGTGTTCATATTTTGAGCCACGTTATTGTGACTCATCGTCTGTATATTGTTTTAACTTATTCTACTGACTTCCTGTAATTTGTTGATATTGACCGAGGTATATATTCTTCAGTGCCTTGAATTTGTTGTGGCATCTACTTGGTACTTGTTATCTTACACTCCTTCAGTGTAATAACTCAACCCGTTCTCGCAAATTCGTAAAGTCAATATTGACTTATTAACTACGTGCATAGGTGATATACTAAACATAATAGATACCCTTAAAAAGATTCATAGAAAACACCGACCTTACCTAACCTTGTTAGTATCTTAAGATAAGCATCTTATTGCTTCGTAATTACAATTATTACTTAACCTATACCTATTATAGGTTAGGTAATAATTGTAATTACGAAGAAATAAGATGCTTATCTTAAGATACTAACAAGGTTAGGTAAGGTCGGTGTTTTCTATGAATCTTTTTAAGGGTATCTATTATGTTAAGTATGTCACCTATGCACATATTTAATAAGTCAATATTGACTTATTAAATTTGCGAGAACGGGTTGAATAACTATACTTTGTGCCAGAATTTTTCCATATACTTGTGTTAAAGGCAGCCTTTTATTAAATGTTAGAATAAGCATTGTGCTTTATTGAATGAATGAATCCAAGCTTTGTATTTCTTTAAATTAATAGGTGATACTGTTGAGAGAAAAAACTAGAAAATAATTTTAATCTACAACAAAGAGGTAATATAGGTTTGGCTGATGGAAGAGCTGATGGCATGTGTGCATAAGAAAACAATTAGATGAATTTAAAGATGTATATTATGATGTAGATGCTTTGCCATCCTCTACCTATATCTGTACAATGAATCACTTTAATCTGAAATAAGCCCTTAACAGTGTAACACTGTCATCATAAGAATTTAAAATTTACCTGCAAGTGTTGAAGCTTAAAGAATTGTACAATTCAGGGATGCCAGTTTTGTGTGTTTTTCACCACTGGCATATTTGCTTTTTTTTTTATGGTGGGGTTGAGGAGGGGGCAGCAAGTGTTCTGGTTACCGATTTCCTGATACTGTGACATTCCTCCAGTTGCATTTTCAATTGCATCTAACATCACAGATGCTAACTCATCTAACTCAACATCACAGCATTACAATAGTGCTTATGCAAATGTTCTTAATTTTTATTTGTCATGTGCTTTAGTACTAATGAATATTTTGTATTTAAATTTGAAATACAGTCTACTTGGAACATACTCAATTTTTATAATTACTGTTTTCTCTGTACTGTACTTTAGCAAAGTATAAATGATGGTAAATTGTCTTTAAGGTATTTGATATTACATGCTGGGCAAAATGGTAAAATTTCTACCATAAACAAATCACATGTATTTTTTAATACAAAAAAGTATTACTCTAATTGAATTGTCATATTCTAAAATTTCCCCAAATTATTATTTTGATTACTGGACTTGTCAAAGTTTCGGATACTTAGTTATTTGAATTTTATGGTATAAAATTTTCCAAATGTCATCCTTTGATTATGCAATATTGGACTGTTATAATTAAATCGTTTTTTGATTAGTATTAACATAATTGTTGAAAATCTGCATTCATATATAGCATGTAAATTTTTTTAATTTCCTCAAATTTGAGTTATACATCCTTTGTGTATCAGAAGACCTGTAATTGTTTTTGCGTATCAGAAGACCTGTAATTGTTATTTATAATAGCATAAATATTTATTAGTCTTTAAGAGTGCAATAAAGATTATATTTGTAGTTTCCCTGTTGTAGCCTGTGTGGTTAAAATATGCCTTGCTTACCTTATATTTTTTTACATTCCGAGCTATGGTATGTGATTATTATTATTTAAATAAAAACAAAGATAATTTTATATTAAAAAATTATCGAATAAATTAGTTTTCATAGAATGAGCTAATTCTGAAGTTACATATATGAGGAGTCTGTGGCAGCCTAATACAGTAGAAATACTATAATAAGGTAAGATCCTGCCTGCGTCTGATAGTGTTTAATGTTCTTTGATAGTTGGCAAAAAATAGAAGGTACATTTTCTCAAAAAGCTGCACTTAATAATAATAACTAATATGCTAATATTATTATTATTATTGAATTTTGGACTATATCCCTGCACTGGAATTTGTGGTGCATTCATAAATGCATTTTTTTTTTACCCAAAATACTTTGCATGGTAATTAAAGCACTTGTGCATGCAAGATAAACTTACTTCTGGTATAATAAGTCTTTAAAGGAATTATTTTGAATAATTATTATCTTAAAATAATGTGGCATTTCTTCTACTTCTGGTCAGCTGCTGTGCATCAAATGTTATCTCCTCTTCCCTATATACCCCCCCCAAAAAAAACAAAATAATAATAATAATCAGCGGTATATGTACAGGTAGTTCCTAATAAATTGAACAAAAATATTTCACAAAATATTGCTTATTTTGCTAAATGAGTTTGCTCATTATTAAATGAGCAAACTGCTCATTTGTTTGTGTATGAAGTTAACAGTTTTTAGCTGCACTGTTGATGGGTTCGTGTCCCATTCAGAACAATCAAATCTTGAGCATTTTTTAAATTTAAAATAAGGTTTCGTCCAAAGTTCTCTGAACAGCATTAAAGCTGAATAAAATGAACCCAAAATAAAAATGTCCAGTATATTATCAGTACATAAAATTTGGTTAAAATTTTAAATGAAAGTTTCAAACTAAACAAATGTAGATTTAAGATGACAAAGCAATTTTTTTTTTTTATCACATTTGCTTTTGAACTTATCTTGTTTTAACTTGTATGTATATTATACACATACACACGCGTATATACTTACCATGGCTGGATCATTGGTGAGGTGCTAAGGACAGTATATTTTCCTGGTTTGAGAAGGTACAGGCTATAACCAATAAAAAATCTGATTTTTTTTTTTTTTTTAGTATTTCCGTCATAAATATTCTAATGTTTCCCTGTCTATAATGATATATTTTTTGAAAACTTAGGCAAATTATTAATGAAAAATCTCTCAAACTAAACCTATTCCTTACCTTTGCAACTCCTATAGCAAACTATTTCTCTACAAAAGCATTAATGGCATCTGTAAATTAGTGTACAGCAAATTGTTAATAGCTTATTTCTTTGCCAAGAAACAGATTTTAAGTATTGTCTTCTGTGTTTCTCTATAATAGCAAATGTAGAATATGAATATTTGCCTGTATATCATGTATAGTACTGACATTTGTAAAGAAATATGCTTGGAAAAGAAAAAAAAAGCTTTCAAAGGCTAATTATAATTGTTATTGGTACAGTATTTATTAGTCTTGTTATTACTTTATTGATTCTATATAAGTAAATTTCTTTCTTTTGTAGTATAAGGATAGACAAATTGAGATTTAAAGAAATACAAATTGAAGACTTATCTATTTTGAGAAATTTGTTATTTTAATTGGAATGTTAGCCAATTCCAAATTTAAATCTTTGAATGTAATAGTTCTGTTGTTAACTTATTTGATAAATGAATATATTTTCATATACATTAAATACCTCTCAATATGAGCATTTCCTATTTAAATGAAGTGCTTAAGTCAAAGTTAAACAAAATTAAGTTGTACAGTTTCCCAAACTTTATCAATTTAAAAAGCTTCTTGTTGCAGAATGAAAGCAATTTAAGCTATATCGTAACTTTGGCATTCATATGCTACTGTGTTGCTAAATGGTGCATTAGCTTAGTGGCAAGATTGTGAACACTGAAAAACCAGAACAAATATTCCATCTTTATCACCTGCTGAATAAATAAATGTTGGTAGTTTTGCAATATACAGTATATAAAATTAAATGCTATCTTAGTACGTGTAATAAAACCAGCAGTTGCTTCAATGAGGTATTTTATTTTGACTACATCTGAAAACTAAAATGCCTAAAAGAATAGTTAACCTGTCAGTGTAACTACAATTTTGTAAATGTATTTTTTTTTTTTTTTTTTTTTTTAATATCTATGGTCATAAGTTGGCAACAAAAGTGATTCACTTGAAAGCATTTTTGAAAATGGATATTAAATCTTACCATTATAGCCCGAGATTGACTTAACTATTACTGGCCTTAAGTCCATTATTCGTCGATATTCTTTACTTGTATTATAATGTTATTGTAGTAGTTTTTTATTAAAAATTAGTATTGAATTCATGGGTTAATTTATAGAATAAAATGAAATATGTACAAAAGTTTGAAAATCAAATTCATTAAGAGAACTCTTCAATGGCAAGACTGTGGTAAAGCTTCTTCTGACTAATGCAGAATATGTACATACTGTTGACTATTATTAAGTGGTATAGAGGCAACAAAACACAAGCATGCACTGTGTATTCTGAACTTATATAAGCAAGGTTACTACAGTAGTAAAATTACATATAGTGCATTTTGCTACAATTTGAAACAAAATCTAAATAACCATGTTCAAAAGTTTTGTGCTTGTGTACCAATGTCCTGTATGAAATAAATTGTGAATACATTCCATTAATGAATAAATATATATAAATATTGTAATATTTTTCATTTATTAACCATTATACTTAGACAATGAAGTTGCATATTTAATATTCAAAGGTACTAAATATGGCATAGGATGTCAATACGAGAACAAAAGTACATTAGGTGAGTGATATCAAAGGTATCTGATTCACCCAGGATTTTGTCAAGGGACAAATGACCTTCAGAGGCATTGAGAAAGAAAGACAAAATCTTCCTGAAAATTTGGGACTTTGTATTACAATTGTCTGGATCAACATTCTCTAAATTGTTCAGTATTTTAAGTTTCAATGAGATCCACCCTGTCATGCCTGGTTTGCAATGTTAGCCCTGTGGCCCTCAACCATTCCCAATACATGAGTTGACTTAACTCAGGAATGATTTTTGTTGCCCGTGTTGCACTTTCTCCAGAGCAGCTATGTCCTCCTTAAGATGGGGACTCCATGCTTGGATACAGTAATTCAAATGGGACCACACCAGAGATTTATACAATAGAATCACTACCTTTTCCTTAAAGTCAATGGTATGCTTGATTATTCCAAGGGTTCGGTTAGATTTTGGGAACCTAGCAAAATGGCTTGGAACCCAGTTCCAAATAGATAGGAACCCAGCAAAACTTGACTTAAATCTACTAGAGATATGAAACAGCTAATGTTGAATTTCAACTACCACTGACCCTTTAGGTCGGCCCTCTGCACCACCCAATGGTCGGAACGATATGAAAAGTAATAAACACCATGCCTATTAC